GGAAGCCTGATTATCGTAAAGGTCAGATGCGGGAGAGAACCGTACGGCCGTTGCCATGGACACCAGGGGGCCCCTGCGGTCAGCGACCGAAGACGACCGGACGGCTGGCGCTCAAGCCTGGCCTCGCGGGAGAGGCGGAGATCGCTGCAGAGGGTGACAGGTGCGCGGAGCATCCGGGCGACGGGCGATGGCAACTGGAATGGAAACACTGAAGCCTGCAGCGATAGACGGCAACGTGGCTAGGATGTGTATGGACGGTGTGACGAAACAGGTGATCGTAACTAGCCAAGGGCCTGTGAACCGGACAGTGGGGACGTTTCCCCTGAGGGTCTGAAACACCGATCGCCGGCTAACGGAACTTGGCCGTTTGTCGTGATCGGGACATGTCAGCTGTGACATAAGGGTCTGATTAAAAAGTATATGCAATTAGAACAGCTCCAAACTTAGTTAAGAAGTTAAAAAATATATGTAAAGTCAAGCAGGTACCAGTGCCTGGGCAGGTTGGCAAGAATTCAGCGCGCCTTGTACAGACTATATTTACCCCATGACACTATTTACTCCACAACACGATGAAAGACGGTTATCTACTCACGCCTCAAATGGTAACAATAAGTAACAATGGTAACCTTGTTCTCATGTACAAGCACAACCGCTAGTTAGTATGAAAATGATGCATCCTAAGTACGGCAAAGCGATAGCGCAGATATCTGTTGCTTGTGATCGTGCTGATGGTTTGGCTTGATCCTCGCACAGGTGGCAGCATAGTTTCATAGACGAACATTTGGTATACACTGTAAACTTCAGTCTGCCTTGCTAGGCCTTTGAGCATAACAGGTGCGCGGGGGCAGGAAGACGAGTAGCAGCCCCGTTACTCTCTATGGCAACACCGATCTCCATGATATGGCTACACTTTTGAGGTCGCTGTGCATCTCTCCAGCCACCTCCTTCTGCTTCGCCGTTCAGAGTTTACCAAAAAGACGCTGAATATCGATCAGCCCAGAAGGCCAGTGGCGCTAGGCTCGCTCATCGTGATGACTTTTACAGTCGATGCTCTGGTTTTGCGCTCCGCCGCAGACGCGCAGCTCATTCAGCGACCGCAGATGAGCAAACGGCACTGCTCCAGCCAGTGTCAACCCAGCCAAGGACACGACTTCCTTGCGCCGCAGCGTGTACGTGACCACGGAAACTCACGTTCGCATGCCCCAGGCGCGTGACCAGACCATAGGTCACACCGCCGGACAGCAGCGCCGATTTCCTCTGCCGCCAGCGCCTCATTCAACGCCGATCAGTTTCGGCTTTGACTGGAGCTGGCCACAAAATGCTTGACGCCGACTTGCGGGCCGTAAGTATCAGTGACGCCACATAGGGTGCCTTCCAAGAACCCGGTGACAAATGTGGCGCCATTCAGGGTGGACCAGCGCTCGGCAACCGGTCTGGAGCCGACGACAGCACGCACGGACGTCAGCAGGCATAAATCCTGCCGCGGGACTCATTGTCGGCTTTGTTCGCCCTCGTAAAGGTGGCGCAGCACAGGATCGCTTACTGCTTAACTGCTTCGAGGTTTGGTATGCACGAAGGCTTGGGGGGGGGGGGAGCGTGAGAAGCCATGTGAGCAGTGGATGGGGGGAGCGTGAGAAGCCATGTGAGCAGTGGATGGGGGGAGCGTGAGAAGCCATGTGAGCAGTGGATGGGGGGAGCGTGAGAAGCCATGTGAGCAGTGGATGGGGGGAGCGTGAGAAGCCATGTGAGCAGTGGATGGGGGGAGCGTGAGAAGCCATGTGAGCAGTGGATGCTCGAGCAGCTTGGCTTTGATTCAGATCTGATGGCCGAGAGGAGGATGAGCGGATGGAATGTGTGGGATGCGGAATGTGTGGAGTGGAACGGGCGAGCATGCCTCAAGATGCCCCGCGTTTGACATGAAGTCGGAACGGCCCGCCTCTTGCTGTTGAGGAATGATGCTCATGGTGAGACAGTCGCACCCAAATCGTGCGCACGTGCTGCACGTGCATCGCTACCAAATGCGCATCGCCCCCAAGCGAACGCCACTATCTGACAATTAGCGTTGCCAGCGTTCCGTTACATACAAATGCGGAAATGTGTAATGCTGCTGATATTGTTGACAAGCATATTGCCTGCGTTGCATGTTGTCAATGCCATAAAACATCTCATCACGTGTACAAAATCATCACAAATAACAACACTTTGAGTTGAGCATGTTCACGCCTTTCGGAGGATTTTGCCATTGTCCCCAGGTCCCCGGAAGGCAGACCTTTCCAGAAGTTACCAGAGCTCAGCGATGGTGGAATGACCAGTCTCATGACGGAAATGCCATGCGCCGAGCATTCATGGACAGGCGTATTTGGATTTATCGATGGCATTGAGTGCGAAATGGCGCGCTGCCTGTGGTCGTGGCATGGTTTCACGCGTTGAGCAGAACAACCAAAAGAATAATAAGATCACCAGTCTACGTTCGTGACGCAGATGTATCGTGCAGCTAGCACAGACGGTTAACCACAGTTGTATCGCAAGGGAAGACTGTAAAACTGTGAGTGCTGTCCCGCGAGAAATGACCCCCCCCCCCCCCACCATCTTGATAATATTCATTACCTGTAAGCTGAGCAAATCATAGACACCTGTCTATGATCATGTTCCAATAGTTTATTAACTTATTAAGCGGTGTAACTTGCAAAGGGATGTTCATGGTTAGGGTGTAATGAAAACGTGACTGGTAATAACGCAACGACATGAAGGATGAGCGGCATACCATTGGCAGAATGGGAAAATAGTGTTCCAGTAAAGTACTGCCAACCTCAGCAGTGAGCAGCATCTTCACTTTACCATATGAGTCATCTAGTCCTGCCTGGTGTCGTTTGCATATCGCATTAACCGACTTGGAAGACACCCGGACGCCATAACGACCTGATGTATTACAGACCTCGTAGAGTAACTTTCAAAACTGCAATGAGTCATGCGAGGTCGCTAAGCACCGGTCATCTGTTGCTTCTCCACCAAACAAATGGGACAGAGACCTGAGCACGTTCAGTGTTTCCGTCCAGTGTTTTGCAACGTAGTTGTGGCTGAGCCCTTTTTGCAGCGAAAGACGTGGGGTATGACCGAAGCCTCGAAATTTCCGCCGAGCCGAGTACGCTGAAGGCCAGCCGGAGGCAGCAGCCCGGAGAGGACGACTCGGAGCATGACATTGAGACGCGGCACCCTGACGAGAGCTGCACGGCAACGCATGGCGGTATCATGTCAAGGCTTGTTTGAATATGCCACCCACACCATATCAGCGTCCGCGCGTAGACATTTTTGCAGGAGTCATTACAGCGGACTGGGCAGTTTCGTTATATCTCCGCCACTGCAGTGTAACGACTGCGTTTTTTTATCTCTCCACGAAAACAGTTGTCAGCTTACGGGCTGCCTCACCGGCTTTAGTTAAGCGCTGCAAGTACTACGGTGTACTACTACGGTTTATGTACTACGGAGCCTGGATAAAAAGTTAAGCATCTGCGCAAATCGCCTGGTAAATCACCCATATCCATTTAACAGAAAAATACGGTACGAGGTATTGGCAGCATGCTATAACTGAAGCAGCACCAAGCACCTATAATGCCATTGGAAAGTCCAGTGGCTCATCTCTCCCTGTCCACACACGTACACAGCGCCGTACCACTCTCGGCAAGCGAGCCCCAGTGAACCGGAGAGAATGTACCAGCCGGCGGCTCGGGTGGCGGCCAGCATCGCGCCGGCGAGGTGCGTGACGGGCGCCGCTGATAACGCCGGTGTAGCGCGTCAGGCGACAGGGCGCGGGTGTCGGCACACACACACACACACACACACCACACACACACACACACACACACACACACACACACACACACACACACACACACACACACACACACACACACACACACACGCACACACACACACACACACACACACCTGAGCCGGTGCGCGGCGCTCAGCGCGGCGACTGGGACAGTGTGACGCGGCTGGCGCGGGCGAGCGTGAGGAAGACGAGGCGAGGGTAAATAGTAAGGGCGGAAAGGAGACAAGGGGGCATGATAGATAACGAGATAGATAGAGGGATAGATATACTGAGAGGGAAGGAGAGAGGGAAAGAGATAGGGTCGGACAGACAGAGACAGAGAGAAGGAGAAGAAGGGAGAGAGAGAGGGAGAGAGAGAGAGAAGACAGAGAGAGAAGAGAAAAAGAAAAGGAGGAGGGGGGGGAGAGAAAAAGAGGGTGTGAAGAAAGAGTATCAGACGAACAAACAAACTAAACCATAGAAGCCGAAGAGCAAGAAATAAGGAAAGAAACAGAGTAAGAGGATGGATATCTATACGTCGTAAAGCGGAACAACGCTGATCACAGTCGAACAGTCTTCAGTTTTGTCAATAACTACCACAAACGACGAAGATGTCGATGAATAAGACATTCACAGCATATGATCTTCTCATTTTCAACTGTCAAAAATCAACGCCAGTTTTTCTTTGCATGCATCCATGCGTTATAACTAGTGAGTAAAAGATATAGTGTCAGTACCTGTGTTAATCAAACGCGCGACGAGATCTCGCCTCTCGGCATCGTCAATCTCACAAACCTCGTGATGACCAGCGCATGCTACACTCCCATCAACCGAATAGTTCACGCATCGTGATTACAAAGCGCGACGGTGGAAAGAGAAACTTTCACAGGGTAAAGGGCTGGCAAATATTGAAATTATTTGCGCTGGATCCTTCGACGTGACGCCATTGAGCTACTGTTAATTCCAACCAAAGTTGGAGCTTTTGTTCTCCTCTCCTTTTCAGCAAGACCACGCACTCTCGCCAAACACCCATGTCTCCGTCGCAGCGGGCCAGGAGACGCGAACCTACTTTCGCCGTGTAGCGAGCTGGCGCGCTCTCCCCTCGCCGCATCGGGACCCGCAGACCTACTCTCTCTGTGCACCGGGCTAACGTGCCCTCCCCTCGCCGCGTCGGGACTCGCGAACTTACCTTCGCCGTGTGCCGAGCTGGCGTGCCCTCCCCTCGCCGCGCCGCACACGAGACTGGCAAGCGGGCGGCCGGCCGGCCGGCTGGGACGGCGCTCGCAGCGCGGCGCCCTGGCGGTGGGGACCGGGCCGCCGGCTCCTCCGACGCCGCCGGCCGCAGACGGAGGTCAGCCGGGTCAGGACAGGACTCGGCTCGGCGCCCAGATCAATGCGCCGCGCTGGCAGGGGTCGGCCAGGGTCGAGGTCAGGCGCCTGGGTCAGGGAGAGGTAGATTAAACACCTAGGTCAGCGAGGGAAAGCTTGGGGGGTGGCCTGGAGTGTCGCGTCCCTAGACAAGAGGCGGGATAGGCCACACGGAGAGGTCATAAAAGGGTTGAGTCAGGCATGGTGGCCTGAGCGATCTAAATTCACTACACCTGCGTGTTTCTGACAGGACCACGCCGATCGCAAGACTCGCCTGCTTGATTAGAATCGAGATGGGACGTATAGCCTACAAAATCTGATCAAATAAGTAGGTCTCGGGTATTCAGATCGCATCCGGTAATCTAACGAAAAGCACCGTCTCATCTTTTGTGGCCGTAGTACGCTTCAGTCGCCATATTTTAGTTGACAGCGGGGTCAGAGTTGTCGGGCGGGCGCATTGCGCGTAGTCGTTCGCAAAGGTCTGGCGCTGGGGTGGTGTGGTTGGCTGCATTGCGCTGGGGTGGTAGACTGCATTACGATCGGGTGGCAGGCTACAGATTGCTGGGGTGGCAGGCTGCATTATGCTGGAACGGCGAGCTGCAACTGCTAGGATGGCAGACTGCATACGCCGGATACGCTGGGGTGGCAGGCTGTAATGGTCCGAGCAGTTGCGGCCGACGGACAGACGTCCACGATCCGTGCGTTTCACAGGTGGATATATTTTTCTATGCGACCCGATGGATGGGTAAGTACCCTGAATACTCCAACTTGGATAGAAGGATAGATAAATGGATGACAAGGTCTCGAACAGCCGACAGATGTGCCTTAGGGTCCTTTGGCGGACGTTTGGTCCAAGTGGCATATTGTCCCCACGAACGACTATTCCAGGAGTCCGCAGGCTCCACAATGACACCTGTTTCCGTTAGTTCAAGGTCTCCAGACTGACAGATAGTTCAGGTGCTCATGTGGTGCAGGGGTTCCAGACGGGCACCTATTTCAGTAAGTTCAGGGTCTCCAGCCTGACGGAAAGTCCAGGTGCCCAAGTGGTGCTAAGGCTCCAGACGGGCCCCTACTCCAGGTGGCCGAGGACTCAGTGCGGTCACCTGCTCCGCTCGGCCGGGAGCACCAGCCTGGCCGCCCTCGGCGCGGCCCGTGCAGCGTCCCCGCGCGCTCCTACGCTCCCAAGCGTCGGGTCAGAGAGTGTAGCTCCAGACCCGGACCCGGCCGGACCGCACGGTCCCGTGGTCCCCCCCCTCGCCGCCGGGGCGCCGGCCTGTTTAGTGTTGCGTCAGGCTGTCGGGTCAGCCCCCTAACGACCTCGCCCCGTCTTGCCACCGAAATGTCCCGCCGACGCTCAGGCGGACACCATCTGTTTACGTAAATACGACGGCTTCAAAGCGGTTATGACGCCGCGCTGCAGTATTAATGAACGGTTTTAATTGACCTGATACGAGCCAGGATGTAAGCAGGCTGGCGCCATGTTGGGCATGCGAGTTGATGTTTTCGGATAGGTGAGCCATGTCGGAAACTTCCCATGGGAATTCGACGTGATAACCATCTTGCTCTCACATTAAGTGTTTGGGCGAAAAGTAAAACATGGAGACATTGAGCACCAAGAGGTCACTTAGCTTTCGTCAACTCTTCACTGTAAATCGTAAATACGTCTGGAGTTTGTCTTGCAAAATGTGCTGAGCAAAATCAGATGTCATTCCATTTTGTATAATGCGTTGTGAGCTCCGTTAGCAATGTGATGTATGATCTTTGGCTCCAGCCATCGTCGAAAAATTATTCAGTCTTCCAAGGCCCGAAAGAGTGCATACATGCTTGTGCACAAACAGCCCACCCACCCACCCACCCACCCACACACACACACACACACACACACACACATACTCCAGCAGTTGCCCCGCTTCATCCGACACGAAGACAGGGCGACTACCATTGAAAGTATTAATACCGATGATCTCTCGCCGTTATCTTTCCAGCTTCCAGACTAATAGCCGCGGAGCAGACAGGTGCTACAGCTCCATCTTCATAGATGCTCAGATTAGACGTTCTAACAACACAAGAACCGGTGGGAAGTTTCGGAATCACTGCCGTCTGACGTCAGCATGATCAGTCGGCGGCAAGACATGGACGAGCGTCCTATCAAAGCTCAGCACCTCAGTCTAATATTTGTCTGGCCACTTCACGTGGCTGTCCAGCACATCCACGAGCGGCGACTTGTCAGCACTCGTCAGCACAGCACTCGTCAGCGCAAGCTGATCACAGCCCGCCGGATGAACCACACAGCACGTCGTACACAGCACGGTAGAACAACTCAATGGATGGTGGCAAGCGTGTTGTAGCGACCCAGCCGGCCTAGCGGTGCTGCATGCTGGCGGCCGGCTACCAGCTGATCGGAGGTCCCGTACTGACGCAGGTCACACTCACACGTGCCCTGTGGGCGTGGCCTGGCGCTGTAGATGCCAGTAGGCCGGCCTCTGAACACGTGGTGATTGGTGACCGCTGCTGCGATGTGTGTGCCGCGATTGGTGGCTGCTCCCGTGCTGCATGCGCCGTAATTGATGGCTGCTCCCGTGCTGCATGCGCCGTAATTGATGGCTGCTCCCGTGCTGCATGCACCGTAATTGATGGCTGCTCCCGTGCTGCAAGCGCCGTTCAATCTCGGGATCTCATGAAACGTCAGGTGGATCGCAGCGTTCGGACCGAGACAGTCTTTGAAAGATCTTCTCCGGCATCACCCGTCTTGACTGGGCGGTGGATCGCATACCAGGAAGTGAGTCAGGTCAGTCATTGTCACCTTGTCATACCTCTGGATGAACTGGCTCGGCGGGTGACACTCGCCGAATGATGCGATCCGTCAGAGGCGATTTGTGATAAGTATGGAATGAGTTAAAGGCTTTCAATACTCGTTAGCTCGTGCAGCTGCTTTCGGACAGCTCTAGGCTGGGAGACGGTGGTGGGCCATCCAGTATTTCAAATCATTATGGTGGTGAGTCTACGCAACAGTCATTGTAGTACCTGAGCAGAGTCAGCGGCAATTTTTTTATACGAGTGCAGGAACTCATTGTCATTTGTCTGCTGTCGGAGGGTGGCGACGAGACGGTAGTCCTGGCGGCCATAGCCTGTTGCGCTGGTCGTTGCCAGGGTACTCAAGTGGTCGGACTGCGCGACAATTTTGTCTCAAGCTGAGGGCCAAACGGTTATAGCGAATCTCTATCCTGACACAAAATGACATTTCATGTTAGAGCGGTGAGGACGATGGAGCTGACACATGTAGCAAAAAATCATGTCCGCCTTTGGTTGGAGGGGCTGAAAGCCATGGTGTCGAGCACGTTCGGTGTTTAGCGGATTTGTTCACTGGACCTTCCTGCATTTGAACTTGACGATGGACGCCGTCGGTGGCACGACCGAAATAAATTTGTCATGAGAGGAATGGGCCGAGATCCGGTCCAAAATAGAGCTCACACTTGTGCAGGCTGTTTGCTGTCTAACTCCCATGTAAATGCAATAATGCTGAAGAAGAGACTCCTCCGGGGTACTTGGCTTGCAAACACTTGCCAATGACTGGTAGTCATTGGGACTATATTATACGTTGTGAAACTGGCCTGAACACTGGCAAGGCACTTCGCTCTACGATATTCGTATCAATATGTGATGGCTTTACACGCGTTCGGTGAAAACGACAGCAAAGATACATCCGATGAGGGGATAGGGGATTGCATTATCCACTCGGAAAACTCGCATTTTTTTATTTCTTGTTGTTGCGGTTCTGTAGCAATTAGTCCTATATTTGGCTGATCGCCGATTAACTCGGCGCTATTACAACCGATCGCCGATGTGACAGGGATCAGGCAAACGTATACATACGAACGTACCCGGGGACTCGTCGTTGCCATGTCACAGAAATTCTTGTCGCTGACCTCAATATGATGGGATTGATAGGAATCAATGAAGAAGAATGAAATCCCCTGGAAAATACCACACAGTCCCTCCAAGTTGTTCCACCACTTACCAATGGCAAATGGAGAAAACACTCTCCATACGTCTCTTTTGTGGAAACTTGCCCGACTTATTGATGGTAAGTGGGGCAAGTTTCCAGTGTTAAGTAATTGTTTACTTACCACCAAGTCCGCGAATTGCACTAACACGGTGTGTAACATCCGCACTCTTTGTAGTCTTTGAGTAGCTCACTTTCCGGCGCGCACCCGTCGAACATGGTCAAACAAAGCCACTTACAGGCAATGCCGCTGAGCCACCCCTGGTTGCCCCCCCCCCCCCCCCCTCTGTCTGCTCCAAAGGAGCGCACGTAACAAACTCGACATTTGAAATAAACCACACTGAAGCTCTTTGTCCTCTGTGTTGAAAATATGTCCGTGTGACACGGGGTAAAGCCAGTGCCAGGACATAGCCAGTGCTGCTGACCAATTAAAGGGACTGTTTCGCAGTGGAGGATTCTGAGGCAAGCATCAGCCGTGATGGAAACGTTGCCTGGTGACCAATAGCAAGAGGATTGATTTGTAGTCTTTTTGGCGGCCACTTCCCCCTCCCCCAAAGTCCCTTTTGCCCCACTCTCAACGGTATGTTTGCCCCCCCCCCCCGCCCCGCCTTTTAGAGGGCCGAACCTAAGGCTCTAATAATTGGTTCACATGTAAAAGGAACAAAGGACGTACAAACTGTGTGTGAGTTTCAGTTGAGAGCAGCCAACGGAGCTCGTCAAGCTTTTAGAGCCCTGTGCTTGTACCATGTTTAATTGAGCATTTTCTGTTTTTGCTGTCACGCTCTGCCGCAACGTGTTATCGGAGAATGGACACGTGGCCAAGTGAGGGGTCAATCCCCCCTTGAAGACTTTATGGAAGAA